CACACACACACACACACACACACACACACACACAGAACGCACTGATGATATTCTACACCAGACATTATAAGTGAGATTCTGAGTGCTGTATTTCTGGAGTTTCAATAAAAACATTTTCAAAAGTCTTAGTAGTGCCAAAAGAGCATCCTAACGTCCAACTCACAGTCCATCCTGCAGGTCATCGCTGTGGCCGGGTCAGTTGTCTGCCAGATATTTACCTGTAGAATACAAAAACAGCCCATCTTTATATCAGATTCTGCATAAAAATTAACTTCAGGGTTCGTACAGATACTATAATGAAACATCAGGAATTTCAATAATTTTCCAGGATTACAACTGGACCAGTAGTTAAAATTTTTACTTGCCCTGCCACAAAACAAATAAATGCCCCCCCCTCAAATTCAACTCAAATATTTCTTAAAAGACGTACCTGCAGAAAACCTTTTTTTAACCAGGGAGAGTCTGTAGCCTGAACCTATGAGTTGAAAATCACAGCCAGACAGATTGCTGCCCTCACTGGTGAACTGCACTGCCAGCTGAGATGGTCTGCTGGGGCCCTCGGCTAATTGGAAGCGAGCCAGAAGAGCGCCCACCCCTGACACACAATGACAGGACAACAGATTTATATCCTACCAGAGTGTTTATTTACACAGTACATTTGTTAACATTTGCATTGGCATGTTTACCTTTTGCCTGGTGTAATGAAGTTTGAGCAACTGTAAAAAGTGCATGCATATTTAATGAGGCAAGTACCTAGGCTGTTTATGATTGGTCCTAGCACCACAGTTTGACACTGCATAGAGTGCTGCAGTGATGATGTATTTTTGTAGGCCAACTCGTAAGCGAAAATCACCCCGGTTTTCCTTGACAAAAAACCCAACAGGACTTTACCACTGGCTTTTGGATAAATGCAGAAAATTTGCTCTTGCCTGATATCAACGTAGCAATCACTAAGCTTCTGAAAACTCAACCTATCTTTATTTAAAATCTACAAGGATGTAAAAGATAGTTGATGACATTTAATGTCCCGACAGCCTCTGTAGACCCAGTTAGTCACGTGCTAGGAATCACCTTTTTCAAGAAACGAAAAAAATCATAAAATTTCATGCATGGGTTATAATTGATGTAATGTAAGAATAAAACGTGAAGATATATTTTGAGCTTGTGTTCACCCCAGACCTTATTTCACATTTAAAAAACCCAATGGCTTCAGGACGATGGAACCAGAAGTTCAAAAACGATAACTTGTTTCCTGGTTGTAAGACTCATTCCTGCAGCACTTTTGACACAAATTCATACAAATTCCTGTCCTCTCACAGAATTCCTTCGCCCTCAATGCCTGATCAAAAATTTATATTATTGTGATATCTTGTTCTATCTAAGCAAAAGATCTTTACTTGACCATTTATCACTATTCTTAGCTACTAGGCTAAGAAAACTAAGGTTAATCTGACTTTTTTTTTTACTTTGGTAATGTGATATGTAATTTAAAAGACATTAATTTATAAATAAATACTCAAAAAATGACTGCTTACCTTTTTACCTACACAAAAGAAGATTGGACTGCATGACATTTTTAAAAAATATCTTCTTTTGTGTCCCACAGAAGAAAGAATGTCAAGTTTAGAATGACATGAAGGTGAATAAATGATGACAGAATTTCATTATTTGGGTGAACTATCCTATAAACATAGTGCATAACATACCTTTTGAGATTTGGTTTTAAATTTGAGTTTGATGTGTGTATAAATGTGTTTCATAACTCAAAAGTAGAGCAATACGACAAGAGCATTTCCATTTATTTATTTCAGTTTGCTTTGAGCAAACTGCAGTTGGGAGTGAAAGCAGATGACAAGCCTCTGCAGTGAATGGAGACGTTTCATCCGCTCAGCTTGCAGAAAGAACAGCAACTTGCCAGCACTTGTGCCACCCGAACAGCCTTACATTAATGACCTCAGCATCATATAGCTGCGGTTCAGGTCTTTCAACCAGGGTATTTTTTTTTTACATGATTTCTATAAAAAATTCTAAAATTCCATTCAACGGTGCCATGGAATCATGTATGATAAATAGTGTAATGCAGAAACAGCTATTTGGGCTTTATGAATCCTTTCCTTGAGTAATTTAATTGACTACCATTGGGGCATTCTGCCACATTGTACAGTTGCCAACATGAGCTAAGCATTCTTGCAAAGCTGTTAGAGGGCTTCCTTTCCATTCAGCTACTATCGAAAGAACATTTACCTCCATTTTCAGACCTCTGTGAGAGCTCTGGGATCTTCCATGCTATTTTCTGTGTCTCTGGGTTCCTTTAAATGCAACCAATGGGCAAACATTACAATACATCAGCACACTGCTGTTGATCTGCATTGTGATTTTCTTGACAGATCCTCACCAGGTGGCAGGTGGGAGCATTGCCTGCAGTTTGTGCACGCCGCCGTCCACAGCTGCCACGAAGTGGATTTTGGTGAGTGGTGTGGGTGTGGGCATGGCCTCTATGTTGTATTTATAGTCTATCCTGAGGTCTGTGCTATTGGCATCACCGCGCCAGCTCACCGCAAGGTTCAGCGGAGTGGACTGGATGCCTTGAGTGAACACCTGTAAGCATAAATCTCAAATCTCACACACTACTACAAAAACATCTGAGAGGATGTTACATTTTTATTTTAATTATATAGATACTAACGGATCATGTTCATATTTAAAATCTCACCTGGTACTTCAGCATGTCCACGTTGTAATACGTGGCCTGTGGCTTCTGCTCAGCCACTTTCTTCAGGTGACTCAACAAGCTTGACATATTGACCCAGAACTCTTTCGAATCGCCTGTACGTGGCGTGGTGTCGCTGCAGGGCGAAATTATTAGCAGAATAAATCTCACACAATATTTATACTTGCTGCACACAATATTGTATTCACTAAACACTCAAAAATATTTACTAAAAAATTCATAAAAAGTATAAAAAAAATATAAAAGGGTACATTTGTAAAATGACCACTTTTGTTGTTAATTCGTTAGTTAACAGGCTGACGCAGATTATTTCAAAATGACCAATATATAATTATTCTGCAAATAATTGGCAGTCCAATATATATCAGTCTGTCACTAAACAAGAAACCTTTTGTTTTACATTTACAAAAAATAAAAATAAATTCAGAATTATTGGTCAATAACAGCAATTTAGTGGATGTTTATTTCAATGAACTGGTTTAAAAATGATTAATCGATTGACCTAAGACATTGAAATGAGTTCTCAGAAGTTACTTTATGTGCAGTAAAACAGCCTGAGCATTAAGTTATTGCATCTTATACAGTAGTGTTTTTTCAGTATTATTTAAATACTATTATAGTATTCAATGATAGTTTCAATTAGGGCTGTCAAAATGGTTGAAAAACTTTGTACTTAAATATTATCAAAATTCGAATTATATTCGAATTTAAAATGCATCATTTCAGTTATGGTGAAGAATAGCTTTTGGCTTTTCTTCTGAGGCCACAAGAGGGCGCATCGAGCAAAATATTACTAATGCACGTTTATTCAAAGCATAAGATAACATGACTATCTGTGAAAAAAGTGCATAATGTTTAAAATTATGTTTATAAAACAATTATAATTAATTACGTGGGGAAGTTGTGGCCTAATGGTTAGAGAGTCGGACTCGTAACCCAAAGGTTGCGGGTTTGAGTCTCGTACCGGCAGGGATTGTAGGTGGGGGGAGTGAATGTACAGCGCTCTCTTCCACCTTCAATACCACGACTGAGGTGCCCTTGAGCAAGGCACCAAACCCCCAACTGCTCCCCAGGCGCCGCAGCATAAATGGCTGCCCACTGCTCCAGGTGTGTGTTCACGGTGTGTGTGTGTTCACTGCTGTGTGTGTGGCGCTTAGGATGGGATAAATGCAGAGCACTAATTCTGAGTATGGGTCACCATACTTGGCCACATGTCACGTCACTCACTTAAGTTGCTTAAAAAACTATAAACAAAACAGCATCATGTATGTATGCATAGTTTAATACAAAGGGCGGAAAGCTAATCACACAGAGTACATTTTTCATTTAAAAACATGAGAGGAAGTGACCCGCCATAAAGTCTCGATATATATGCATTAATTTTACATGGCTTTCTAAACATGCGGCTCCTTTGTGCGAGACGTGAGTGCAACGGTGATAGATGTCCCTCTAGAAAATGTGTGAAATATGTGTTCTGTGTGAACGGCTTGGTTTCAGCTTTGATGTAAACAAGATCTTCTCCGCATTGATGTTCTCTTTTCCCGCAATATTTTTAATGAACAACGTAGCAGCGCCGCATCTAGTGGCTTCAACTGGATAGGCTAACAAAAACATTATAATGCAACGACACTTACATCGTCATCACATCTCGTGTGCCACTGATAAGGCTGCCTCCTTAACGCACACCTAAAATTCGAATGCAACGTTTTTGCATTCGAATGTGGATTTTTATTTTAAATTTGACGAATATTCGAAATTCGATTTTTTTTTTGACAGCCCTAGTTTCAATTAGCTTTTATTTTGTTTTCAGTTTAATTTTTTTTCTATTTTGTTATTTTAGTACTTGCAAATATTTCAGTTAGTCACCAAGGCAACATTTTTGAGTTTAATCTAATATTTATATTAGCTTTATTGCAATTAACAAAACAACTTTTAATAGTTTTAGTTAACAGTAACAACCCTGTTATACAGTAGCTATGCTTTTGAATAAATTATATAAACTGTTCCAAATGTTGTGCTGTTTACGGTTCAAATTGCACATATCTGTATCATATTGGTTATTAGCTGATATTACAATGTTTAAATGTATCTGTAGTGTTCATTGGTTGATACATATACAGTATATACTGTATATATATATATATATCAGCTGATATTGGATGTTTAATTTTTCACGCTTATTTTTCCTATTTTCACACTGAGATTACCTTTACTGCCATCTAACACTCACATACCATCAGTTAAATCAGTTAAATACTAATAATTTAATAACACTGGCAAATATGTTTCGCAGATCTCAAAATGAATAGCTATTTCATACAGTACATTATAATGTTGTGTAGCCTAAATTAGCTCGTAGCATTTCGTTTTTTTGTGTTTTAGACAAAATAATGTAGAATTCGTAATACTGACCATGATTAGCATCAGCCATAATCTTAATATCTCAACAACCCTATTTCCGACTTCAACCGCCTCAGTTTTACTCCCAAACAAAATTCTCCTTTACAGTGGGACGATTTACAAACTATTTCTGAAATGGCTTGACTGAATCATTAAAAAGCCCGGTTCAAAAGAACGATTCTCTCACTAGTGGGACAACACTATATATTACCAGCACAGAAGCTGTGGGTTGGGAAGGACCTGCTCCAGCCGATTGTACTGGCTGATGGTGAAGGTCAGCACTGGTGGGTTGGGATGGCTGGAGAAGTGTCTGGTGATCCCTGCTGGGAAAGACAGCACCATCTCACCAGTGATCTTCACCAGACACCTACAACACACAGTAAGACATGAGAGATGATTAAGGACAGTTTCATTCAACTAAATGTGAACTAAATTCAAAAGGTGACTTCAAAATGTGCTCTGTGGCCTACTTAGTGGGATCTGCTCCTTTAAAGTAGGCGCTGATGGTCTCTGTGAAGGCGGCTGCCACTGGTAGAGTGTCCTGGGGTCCCATTGTGAGAGGACTTGGGCCTCTGGAACACGCTGAAATACAGAAGTAGATCTAATATCATGCAAAACTCACACAACTTTCTGAAATTAAGAAGACATTATTCCTCACGCATCATAATCAGCAATAGCTGTTGTGGCCCACCTGATACAGAGAGGTTGAGCTCTCGGCCTAGAGTAGGTGTGGAAGCTGCGCTCAGAGAGGTGACGGAGGAGATGGAGGAGGTGCTCTCAGCTCTGGCCAGAGGAGCAAAGGGTGGAGGACTCCACGAGTGGATGGGGGGACTGAAGGGACGGGCCTGAGGAGAAACAAAAACAACAGCCTGAACCAGACATACTGAAAAGCACTCCTTGTGATTTCATAAGGAGCTCAAATGCTTCACAGGAGTGGAGAAAGTTGACTGATGCAGTCATACCAGATCTGCTAGGCTTGGTTTTCCAGGTGGTAGTTTAGGTCGTGATGATGGTCTTGGTGGTAGAGGTGGGATCGGACTGCCAGCAGACAGGGGAGTGCCGGCACGTGCGGGAGAGGACGGCCCTGAGAACATAAAATCAGATTACTATTATACTGTAAAAAGTGCTAACCTGCAATTGTTACCTTAAAGATTTCAATTCAATTCAAGTTTATTTGTATAGCACTTTTCACGATGCAAATCGTTGCAAAGCAGCTCTACAGAAAATGTAAGTTTCTACATTATATTTAGTAATAGCTTATCAGTGGTGACTATCTCAAGTTGATGTCCATATGTCAGAAATGTACAGTAAAAATCAAGCAGTTAGTTCATGTGAACCCATATTTAACCCATAAGAATGGGTTTTGTTGGTTTAAATTGATGTAAAAAGATTGGTTCAGTGACGCTAAATTATACTTTTGACCAGTTATTTTAGATGTTACTATTTTTAGGTTTTAATTTTTTTTGTGGTGTTATTATTATTGTAATGCAAATGCTAAGATAATAAAATTTTCAACAATCATATAATCAGATAATTCAATTAAGGTTCTTGTTGACTTGTTGAATTCTAAAATGTATAGTTTTATAAATAATAATAAACAATTAAAATAATGGCATTTTATTTATTTTATGTGGATTATTAATAATACTGAATGAGTTTAGAATATTAATAATACTATTCCTTGTTTCAGACGTTCATTAATTTTCACAGAGAAGGCGAAAACTGTAGTATGCTGTAAAGAACCATTTAAATTTAATTAATAATCTAATTTATTTCTCTTTACAAAATGTGATATTGCCATTTTAGGTGCCATTAAGGCAGCAGAACTACCACTGTAAAAACTACAACTTTGGTTAATATGCGCAGTCATAGAAGCAGCTCTGGGTGTCTATTTTTCTGCAGTATTGACAGCCCTTTAGTACAAAGCCCTGCACATGACATGCAAGTAGAAAAAAACAAGATATCATGGTCACAAATAAAAATATGTTCCCATAACTTATCGATTAGTGACCTTGTTTTAATTCAATCGTGACTAAGGCATAACTGAATTAAAACAAGGGAACAAATCAGTAAAATATGGTCACGATTGAATTAAAATAAGGGAATTAATAAAACATGCACTGTAAAAAAATATTAATGCAAATGTAAAAAAAAAAATCTTAGTACTATTTTCCCCTAGCTTTTTCTTGTTTACTCAACTTTTGTAAAATGTTTAGTTGAGTTAACTTAAGATTGTTAGCTTTCTAGAGATGTGCAACAATTCTATAACAAACTTTTTTCCAAGTTGTGGCAACTCAACATTTTTTGTCTGTAGAACTCAAATACTTGAAGTTGATTGAACAAAGAAATGCTATTGGAAATTGGTATTAAGAAATAATGTTACAACTGAAAACCGCAAAAACAGTGTCCAAGTCAAAAACTGATAACACTGACACAATATTAACAAAACATTTATTCAAAAGAGCAATTTTTTTAAAGACAATGTTTTCAAACATTTCACCCAAAAATGATACTTCTCTCATTTATTCCCTTATGTCTCAAACTCATATTTATATATCTTTTGAAACCCTTTTACTTGGCATTGTATGGATGGAAACATACCAGTCTATGAAACTATCTAAAATATCTTTGTGTCCTAATCATATGAGTTTGAGATCAATACATAGAAATGCTATCACCACAACATAAAAATCCTGTAATACCATGCTTTTTAAATTCACAAATATTTAAGCCAAAGCGATTCAACACTGCAATAGTGAAATTAAATACTGCAGTTAAAACCGTTTTACAAAACTCTGCCACTAAATATGAAACATGACTAAACAGTAGCATGTACATGAGAGACACAAACTTTCAAAATCTGAAGGATGGTCTATAAATTAAAAGTGTAGCTATCTGCAAAACACTCAAATGTGTATTTTAGTCCAAAGAGTACCATTAAAGCAGTGGGAAAAGTCAGATGGTCCTCCATTACCACGGTTTCCTTCAGGATGATGCAGAAGTTTAGTCATCTCTTTGTTCTCTGTGAGAGCTCGTCCTCCATGACTTCAAGGATGCCCATTTTCACTCCTCTTTATCAGTGTCCTAAAGGCCCTTTCACACGGGACGCAGCAAGCGGTGGAATTGCCGCGCGGCTGCCGCGTTCTCTTGTAGTGGAAGCGTTTTATGCAGTTGAGGCGGTGGTCGCGTTGCGGTCTCGGAGCAGATGTTGCCATAGTTACAATTGTCAACATCACCTTTGTATTTACTAAAAACTAAATAAAACATAACGGAATTTGTGTTTGTGTCATTCTGCCATTAATTGTTGTAATTATTTACCTTTTTTTTTTTCGTTTGGCACAAGTGAAGTTGTTTTTGATGATTTGCCTAAAGAGCATAGGCCTACCTGTGAGGTCACGATTGAAGTAAAAAATTAGAATGAAATATAATTCTGTCAGTACCACTATTGTCAAAGATGATTGACAATTAGCATACAGTTTGGATTGGCGGTATGGTTCTGTTCTGGGCAAGAACTCCCTGCGCATCCATGCTGCCTAGCATAAGAGGAACAATTAGAGGAACAATAACGCCCCAGGGTAAACAGAACAGAACCAACATAAATGTATTGCAAATATAGTTAAAGTTCAATAATGTTATGTACACATTTTAGAATTAGTCTGATTCAAAGGAGAATCAGAAGGCTGAATCCTGACTGACAGAGGAGGAGCTGGGGATGGAGGAGGGTAAATAGCTATTGAGCAATGCGAAAAACGGCTGATAATACTGAGGGACCTTATATATGAATGCTTAGATAGGTGTCGTATTCCTATAGGTAGATGGGGATCAGCTGAGAGTCAGCTGATGCGAGCTTGACTAACGTGACCTGCCAGAACTAACGCTACGCTTGATTTTTATTTATGTCTCTGTATGAGATTTTAGATAGGTCATACAGTTCTGGGAAATCTATTACACTTAAAACAATCTTCTCCTCTATTTTTCCAATGGCCAGTTCAGCTAAATGTTTACTGATTGGTTGAGACCAACGCGGCTGCTGCTGCCGCTCACAAAAAGATACAATATTTTTATCTTTGGCAGCGCCTGCCGCGAAGCGCCATGCCCGTGGAAGCAGCAGGATATTGGAAGCACAAGCATCGTTTGCGCTCCGCCTCCGCGCCGCCCGTGAAACTGCCCGTGTTTTGCCGCTTTCCGCATGTCTCCCATTGAGAATGAACTAGACACTCGCGACTGCCGCGTACCGTGTGAAAGGGCCTTAAGAAAGAATTATATAATTGTATTGAAAACTGGTTGAGCAAGAGTGTAAATATAAAAATCAAAGCTCAAATACGCTCTTTCAAACAAAACATGGCGCATTTTGTGCTAACCTGATGTAAACACTTGATGAAAACAACCCACAAGCACCTTTATTAAATATAACCACACATTTCATAATTGAATGGTGATCAACGAAAATATGAGAAGAACAAAATTTGGAAACCTACCAAATAAATCTTGAAGATTCCGTTCCCTGAGGGTCCCCATAGAGCCATGTTGTGTCTGTGATGGGCTGTGTTGCCTGTAGGAGGGAAACAAATATATAGTTTACATCTGTATGATTCCTTACAAAAATACTGAAAATGTATTAGGGATGGGCAAAGGGTCAGAAATGGAGGAGTGCTTGGGGCAACAATTCCACAAAAACTGACTGTAAAAAGCTTGAAAAATTGTACTGTAGGGACAAAAAAAAACAAGTAGTAAATTTATGAGAAAACAAAACTCAAGTAGACAAAATAACTGTCAATGAAAGTGTATAACCGCTATTTCCAAGGGATTCATAAGCATAGGAATTATACTGGCTTGTTAAAATTGTTCAGCATAATTCTCATTTCACTTTTTTGGTCTACTGAATACAAACTCAACTTGTTCAACAACAAACAAAAGCACTGGAGGAATAAAACGCAGAAAAACAGATCATGTCTTGGCAGAAAATTACCAGTACATTTTCCATTAAATTTACAGACATTTCTTTCAACCCTAAAACACTGCATGCAATGCGAAATTCAAAACACAGGTAAAAATAAAAAATTAATAAAAAATTGAAAAAAACTGAAAATTGTCTGAAAGTTTTCTTCAATACAAACATTGTGAAAATCAGGGATGGGCAAAGGGTCAGAAATGGAGGAGTGCTTGGGGCAACAATTCCACAAAAACTGACTGTAAAAAGCTTGAAAAATTGTACTGTAGGGACAAAAAAAAACAAGTAGTAAATTTATGAGAAAACAAAACTCAAGTAGACAAAATAACTGTCAATGAAAGTGTATAACCGCTATTTCCAAGGGATTCATAAGCATAGGAATTATACTGGCTTGTTAAAATTGTTCAGCATAATTCTCATTTCACTTTTTTGGTCTACTGAATACAAACTCAACTTGTTCAACAACAAACAAAAGCACTGGAGGAATAAAACGCAGAAAAACAGATCATGTCTTGGCAGAAAATTACCAGTACTTTCTTTCAACCCTAAAACACTGCATGCAATGCGGAATTCAAAACACAGGTAAAACACTTGTGCAAAAAAAATTAATAAAAAATTGAAAAAAACTTGTCTGAAAGTTTTCTTCAATACAAACATTGTGAAAATCACACAGGTCACAGTTAAATATAGCATGCACTGCCCTTTTATCAGAATTTATGTGGACCCCAAGTCGTTTTTTAACGCACCTGGTTTATTGAAAGTGCAGAAGAATCAGGGTACAGGCACAAGGGTACACCCAATGCTTGAGCCTGTAGTGTTTCAGCAGCAGATTTTGACTGGCGCCGGTGTGTTTCTAGTACCTGTAATGAATTAAGTGTGCTCTCAGGATCTGCATAATGAAATACACAAATGTGAATTATCAGGTTAATAAAATGCAAATGAATGCACAGACTTTAAAACGTTAGGCATCATACACTTCCCGACTCTGTAAATAGTCACAGAAGAAACACTGGCCATCACTAAACAACTGAGGATCACAAACTACCAGACTTACAAGATGTTCCGATCACAAACTCCCGCAGAAACATGCGCCTTGTTGCTAGGAGACGCATGAAAAATGAAAACAGTACGTGTTCTAAAATCGGCTCAAAATATCAAACGTGTTTGATCTCCTCCGACTGGATGGAACAGAAATCTGAATCTAAAAAAATCGTATGTGACCATAAACTACACGTAAATATGCACGATTTCCAAACTCAACTTAATTGTGCAGCAAAATCCATTGCAACAAAAGACAAAAACTTAGTTATTTCATATAAAAGGATTAAAATACAGCTTACAAAAAAAATGTAACGTTAGTGGTGTTTTTCTTCTTCTAAATAACCAATATCAACTAAGTTAACTGGGGAAAAGTGTGACTTTAAGAAAAAACAACGATCATTAAAAACCAAAGAAGCACACTTACCATAAAAACATTCCTCTGGATTATTGCCACGTGCTCTTCTTTCATAAACACTCTTCTTCGGCCGCTTGCTGAACACTTGTCTCTCCCGCGTTGAAAAGTTTGAAGCCTTGAAAAGTTTACGTTGACGTACTATACGCAACCAGCACGTACTGAGGGCGTGGTTTAGCGCGCGAGAGAAAATAACGCCGTCATCAGAAAACATCCTGATAATATTTTTTAAATGTACGGTTTATTTAAAAATAACAATTCATTAGAACAGTCCATACGAGCTAATTGTGTTCTGAACTAGTGAGATGAACGCATAGACATTTTCTAATAAAGTGTACAGAATTATTATTGTTCTTGTTGTTATTGTACAATATTAATTTAATTATACATTAGAGCGTTTAATTTCTTTTAAAAATCACTAAACAACCATTTTTCTTCATTGTCCTGAAGTAAACAAACGTTTACATTTTATTCCAAAAATTAGCATTCGTTTTTTACTATATGGGTGGGCAGTCATAAATGAGATTCCCTTTTTTATAAGTTGAATTTGGCAAAGTTGGCAGAGGTTATTTTGGATGAACTTGCAAAGTGCTGTTCACAAAACTCATCTTTTTAAGTTTATGGGGGAAAAAACTTGGTTTAAGCTGAATAAGTGTATTAAACTTAGTTGTACTGACTTTTTCATTGATTTCATTGGTTATGCACATTCTACAAAATATGTTCAACAGAAGAAACTCACACAGGTTTGGAACTTGAGGGTGAGTAAATGATGACAAGAATTTTCAATTTTGGGCGAACTATACCTTTAAGTAAGAACATAAAACTCACCACTGCCAGGCCCTGGGGAGCCCATCACACTCCTGTAAGTAGGAGGTGGAAGTGGAGGTGGAGTTCCTCTGAAGCTTCCTGCTGTGAGGTCTTTGGGTGACGTGCCAAACACAGCAATCTCGTCCCTCATGCCCACCAGGTCAGGGGTTCTTCTGCTGTCATCTTTCAAGGCAAGAGGGGAAGGTATGGCTCCATGTGGAGGGTGGTCTGCTGGCAGGAAGGGCAGTCCAGGGCTGGCAGGGGTGACGGGGGACTCTTGGGCGAGCTCTGACTCTGGGAGCTGAAAGCAGCAGGGAAGGTCCAGGGGACTCAGAGGAGAGTCTGAGGGCGGTGGTGGTGGAGGTGAATCTGGAGGTGGGATGGAGAGGAGTGGGGGAGGGGGCGAGACGGGTGGCGGCAGGTTGAGAGGCGAGGTCGGGGGCGAGTCCGCAGGGGAAGAGGACAGAGGTGGGGAAGGGGCGGGTTCATCTGGCGGAGGAGGTCTGGCGGGAGAGCCTTCGCTGAAGCTCACCCAGCTGCACTGCACCACATCTGATCCAGACCTGGGCGTCTCAACAGGCCCAAAAACACTGTCCAAGTCAGGCATGGACGCACGCCCTCTGGATGGGTCAGATAATGGGGCATCCTGACAGGCCGAAGCAGATCCATCTCCTCTGACACTAGGAACCACACTATAATAACCTGCTCAGACAGAACGACAACGAGCTGTCAAATACTCTTCCATCTTTCACCACTACAAACTAAGGGTGTGTGATATTTATTGTCAAAATTCAATATTCAAAGCGTGTTTTTCCCCCCCAAAGATATCAGCATGATTGCAAATATGATATTGATTTTATACAGTTCAACAAGTCAATATTGAGAGTTACATTTTACACAATATTGTCTGTTTTTGCTCAGCAATGAAAATATTTTCGAACAACGATGCAGTGTGTATCTGAGCAACACAGTGGTGTTTCGTTCCTGAACGAATCAGTGGTTTTAAACAAATCAGTGATTTTGTTGCTTCGTTGCTGAATGAGTCAGCCATTTGAACAAATCGGTTGAATGAATGACTCAATGACTCACTCATTGAGACAGTGACTTTGCACCACCTACTGGCAATTTAAGTTTCAAATTTAAAGTAATATTTATTTAAAAAAAATATATAATTTCAACAATTTCAATATTTAAGCAATTATTTTTTTTAATATTATTCTCATAGCATTATCTATACAATTGTAATTGGAGTGTAAATAGATCTAAATAGTTTCTTTGCCACTCCTGGAATGCAAAAATGGATTTTTGCCAATACTGATTTAATTTCATAATTATTCTAGCTAAATTTATTGATTTAAATGTAAGAATTTGACATAAAAGATGATCAATCAATTCAATAGTAAGGTTAGAAAAAAATTGGCCTTATCCTTATTGGATAAAAATGTCCCTGGAAATCACTTTAAAGGTGGGGTAAGCGATTTTTCAAAAATGCTTTAGAAAACTGATTCGGACCGACTAGCAAAACAAACTTGTCGCCAATCAGCAGTAAGGGGCGTGTCTACTCATGATGTGGAGGAGAGAGCGTTCGGTTCGAGCCGAGCGACAGAAAGATAGAGATGGCAGATAAAAAAACAAGAGGAAAACGTCTGCGGATCGGACGCTGAGGTTGCTTTGTTTCTTCTCGATAGGTGAGTAACACCGTGTCTGCGCCGCAACAGCTAAAGTCTGTCTAGTACACTGGACGTGACAAAGCGACCGTTGAAAATCATTAGAAATTTGTGTCAATACGTCATGAATAGAACACAGCAGCAGCTTTCTGTCGGGGATCTGTCATGTCGTGTCGCGCCGCATCCAGTGTAGACCATAGATATGTATCACTGACAGCATCACTGATTATAATGAGTTCCATACCACAGTATAAATAGTTTACATTATGATTATTAAAATATCATACAGACGCTAACATCTATGTACAGTGTACTTTAATGCAGTGCTGTTATTGCTAACTAAAACAAAAAATATTTTAAAACATTTCTGTTGACTGAAATAAAGCAGAAATAAAAAAACAAAATAAAAAAAACAAGCTAAACCGAAATTAGACATGTTGGCTCTAACTAACATAAGTTTAAGTACTAAACTTACAAACTGAAATAAAACTACAATAAAAATAAATGTAACTATTTGGAAGTATTTTTTATAAAACAAAACTAATAAAAATGACAAAAGCATAAAAAAATGCCCTTATGTATACCAATTTACATTGCTAATCAATGAATAAAATCAGTAATAATTGTAAATTAAAGTGAATTCTTTTTGTGTGACCAGTTCAAAGCACAAAGTGTTAATACATGTGATTTTTTTCTGGTTAATTTTGTAGATCTAGTCACACTCTGAAGTGAGCAGTGAAATGTGATGCTTTGTAGGATTCAGGCCCTTTCATAAGAAACTATTTTAGCATTTGCCACCATTGTGTGTTTTATTGGCGCCTTCACTGGGGCAGTTCTGAAGCTTCAAACTGGCATTATCAAAAAACATTTTGGACATTTGACATGCAGTACCTCCAGTGGGCAGAGATCTGCTCAGAACACAGGAGGAGAGAGAAGTGGACTGACACCAGAGCTCCGGCTCAACCGAGAACACTGTCATTAAAATTCATGAAAGAAATACCCATCAATACAAACCTTATGAATCACAGTAATGCATGACATGGAAGAACAATTCTTTAAAGGGTTAGTTCACCCAAAAATGAAAATTCTGTCATTAATTACTCACCCTCATGTCGTTCTAAACCCGTAAGACCTCCGTTCATCTTCGAAACACAAATTAAGATATTTTTGATGAATTCTGAGAGCTCTCTGACCCTCCCATAGACAGCAATATAATTACCACGGTCAAGGTCCAGAAACATAGCAAAGAGATCGGTAAAATAATCCATGTGACATCAGGGGTTCAACTGTAAATTTACGAAGCTCCGAGAATACTTTTTGTACGCAAAACAAATCCGCCTGACGCAGCTGACACAGAATAGCATACGCCGTTTATGTTCAGTGGATATTCTCCAAAATGGCACCAGGGTGACGCGGAGGAAACAAATTGTTGATTAAAGTCATTATTTTTGTTTTCTTCATGTACAAAAAATATTCTCGTAGCTTCGTAAAATTACGGTTGATCCCCTGATGTCACATGGATTATTTTACCGATCTCCTTGCTACGTTTCTGGACCTTGATCGTGGTAATTACATTGCTGTCTATGGGAGGGTCAGAGAGCTCTCAGAATTCATCTCAAATATCTTAATTTGTGTTCCGAAGATGAACTAACCCTTTAAATTAAATTTCAATTACATTTTTTTCTAAAACTTCTCATAAAATCTTGATCTTGTAACCCACTAATCACATTTTGACAAAGTAACTCATCAGTGTTCGGTTATTTAGCAATATTGTTTTACCTTCTGAGTTGTGTGCTTCAAAACTGGTCTCAAATGGCGAGCCGAAGAACACTGTTGTTTTTTCTCTTTTTATGAAACAGAAGGAAAATACAAGGTCAAAACATACCAAGAGTATACAGGCAATGCAATGTAGTAATGTAATTCAATTGAGAATGAGTAATTCAATAGTGAGCAGAAGCACAAACTGTTCCATGAGGGTCTGAGATGGTGTACTAACCTGGGCGGGTCTGAACCGGGTCCTGGAGTTGTCGTGGGTGTTGGAGTAGATCGTCGTGGTCTGGCAATCTCCTCACCTGGAATATGCAAAGTGAAAATGACCTCTATGATCTACAAACTGGAGTGATCTGAATACACAGGAAGTCAATATTTCCAAATAAACACTCACTTGACAGGTTTCGTTTCATCTGGCACTGGAACAAAGGTCACAAAAGAAGATAATGCCAATAACAAAGACATTTCAAAGACTTATATTAACTGACATGATGGGATAGAAACCCTCTTTCTTTGACATTCACACATGCATTACTATAAAACATGTTCCAAAAATTAAACTCCTACAAGAAAGACATCTTTTTGAAAGACATCTTTCAAAGCTTTTGAAAGACATCTCTTATGTTCATCAAGGCTGCATTTATTTGATCAAAAATACAGTAAAAACTGTAATATTGTGAAATATTATTTCAATTCAAAGTAACTGGTTTCTATTTTAATATATTGTAAAATGTAATTTATTTCTGTGATGCAAAGTTGCATTTTCAGCATCATTACTCCAGTCTTCAGTGTCACATGATCCTTCAGAAATCATTCTATGCTGATTTTCTGCTCAAGACACATTTATTATTATCAATGTTGAAAACAGTGGTTCTGGTTCATATTTTTATAGAAACTGCGATACATTTATCTTTACTGTCACTTTTGATCAAATTAAAGGATTAGTTCACTTCTGAATTACAATTTCCTCACCCTCATGTCATCCAAGATCATGTCTTCCTTTCTTCAGTCGAAAATAAATTAAGGTTTTTGAAGAAAACATTCCAGGGTTTTTCTCTATCCCCTAACTGTCATGAACCAGTGTTGTGCCGAATTCTGCACCCCTGCCAGATTATGCACCCCCCCGTTGAAGTCGCCACTTGATTGCCTAATCCCAACCCCACCCCCACACCTACACCTACCAATACTAGAGAGTGCATAATTTGGCAGGGTGCAAATCTGGGCACTACACCGGAATGCAGAGTTCACGCAGAATTAGACAAGACAAGCGTTTGAGGTTAAAAAGTAAATAAATTGTAAAAAAAAAAATCATGAATAATTTGTTAAAACATGAAAGAGTCAAAAACAGTACAACTACTATTATAAAACTAAATTCTGAGAGATATCAGGCAGAGGGTATTATTTGGCACCTGGACATTGATTTCCATTAGTTCCATTTATCACAACTGATGAGTGACAAACATCCTCAGCTAATGGAAAACATCCAGGTGCCAACGCTGGAACATTCACATCTCACATGCTGAAGCTGCAGATGATATCAAGAATCTAATGATTCACTCATACTGATCCATGAGGGTATCAAGCTGTCAGTACAGCAGTAACACAGCATGAAGCATCATCACAATGAAAGGTTTAGCCAAACAAAGGCTCTAGCCCTACTGTGCATGGGATAGCAGCGTCAGTATCACACACAATACATTTTTGTTGTAGTTTTTGACATTTACAAAATCCACACTTACTGGACTTCGCCTCTGAGATCAGCAAAAAAGGAGAAAGAACAGACCTGGTCAGAGAGCGAGTGACAGATCAGACAGATATTAACAAAAAATAAATAAATTAAAATAAATGATTGTCTGTGATGGATCTTTCCTCAACTACGGCACACAGACCAAACCAACCACACATGAAACTTGACAACACATTCTCGGGGAAGTCGTGGCCTAATGGTTAGAGAGTCGGACTCGTAACTCAAAGGTTGTGGGTTTGAGTCTCGTACCGGCAGGGATTGTAGGTGGGGGGAGTGAATGTACAGCGCTCTCTCCCACCTTCAATACCACGACTGAGGTGCCCTTGAGCAAGGCATCCAACCCCCAACTGCTCCCCGGGCGCCGCACTGCTCTGGGTGTGTGTTCACTGCTGTGTGTGTGTGTGCACTTTGGATGGGTTAATGCAGAGCACTAATTCCAAGTAAATTTATTTGATATTAAAAAGTTAAATAAAAACTGAGATGTAGAAGCATACTTCTGCATTATACATGATGCATAAATGCATTATAAATGTGTAACTCAAAGAGTACAACAAGCCAATAGCAATAGCATGGTTATGGGTTTGTATAAATTTAATGCAATATACTGTAAGCTGCTTTGGATAAATGTGTCTGCAAAATCCATGAATGTAAATGTACATAAAGCCAGTACTTCAAATAACATAAATAAGTTCTGTTTAAAAAAACATTTATGATTGACGCATATCTCTCTCAGTATTTATTCAAACATAGCTGTAGCGATGCTGTACCAATATTAAAATTCTGACTGATACTGTTAAGACGAGATTATTTTCACGTTATGGCCAATAACCAATATTCAATACTATTTTGTCTAAATATCTTTAAAATAAATAAATAAAAATAATAGTACAATTGTACAAGGCATCAGAGAATAAAACTGTATGAAAAAAGATATAATGCACTATCATTCAAAATTTTGGGCTCAGTAAAATTGTTTTGATAATATTTTTATTCAGCAATGATGCATTAAGTTGATCAAATGTGACTGTAAAATCTTTTTATAATGTTAGACAAATAAAATAAAAAATATGCATCACGGATTCCATAAAAAATTAAGCAACACAACTATAATAACAAGAAATGTTTCTTGAACAGCAAATCAGCATATTACAATGATTTCTGAAGGATCAAGTAAATTTAGCTTTGCCATCACAGGACTAAATTACTGTGACGAGAGGGGTGGAGCCGAGAGCCGTGGGAACGGAGCGAGGCCGGTGGAGTAATTGATAACGAGCGACACCTGCACCACTCACCGGTCTCGAGTCTCACGGAGGAGCTCCGGAAGGATAAAAGGAGGAGTAACGACAGTGTCGGACGAGAGAGGACCAGGCCTGGATTTTATTTTGTGTTTTGGTTTTGTTTGTGCGCGATAGTCGTCCGCGAGGTGCTATCGCGCTATTTTGTGTTTGTTTATTTTATTAAAGATTTCTTTTGAGTGTTCGCCAGTTCCCGCCTCCTTCTTCCCGACTTACGAACTTTGTTACAATTACATTTTAAAATACATTAAAATAGAAAACAGGTATTTTAAATTTTAATAAAATGTCATAATAATATAATAAAAATACAATTAAAATCGGTATTACTTTTCACTCTATTGTTGATCACATGAATGCAGCCTTGGTGAGCTTAAGAGAATTTCTTTTAAAAACATGAAAAAAATCTTACCGACCATAAACTTTTGAACAGTACTGTATATATGTGTGTGAAAAACAGATGCTAGCATTAGACGAGGGCAAATATATTTTAAATGTACAAGTAGTGGATATAAATATGCACAATTATATATCCAATATCGACCGACACCAATAAAACATTTTAAATATATAAATAAATAAATAATCATTGATATATCATGTATCCCTACATTTTGAACTAGGCTTAAGTTTAGTTTGCTTAAGCATTTCAGATTCACTTCAAGCGTTGCTGATGATTAAATCAATCTGACTGAATTTCCATTTGTTCTAGTAATCACCTTAAAGTGCCCCTATTATGTCAATTCTAAGGTTCCTAATATTGTTTTAAGCGTCTCCTGCAATAGGTTTACATGCATGCAAGGTCAAAAAATACTTTCATTTTCTCAAAATATGCATTTAATTTCACCTCATTTTCCAACGATTCGTTCGAAGCAGTTCTAAGATTCAGTCTCTCTAAACCCCTCCTTTCCGTGAGCCTACTCTGCTCTGATTGGTCAGATGGCCCAGTCTGTTGTGATTGGTCTACCGCGTACAGCGCGTGTCGGAAACCATACGCCCATTGCACATAGGTGGGCATTATGCAAATGTATTACCCCGTGTCGTGTAGCCGTCACGGAAGTGGGATTCGATTTCCTGACGACTCGTTTAGGCTGTTCAGAGTCGATTCTTTCTTTTGGGAGACAGTAACTTTATTTATTGTGCACTTTCGGCTTTACAAATTTGCTGATCGTTTACATTCACATACAGCTACATTACACACTGCATGAAAGGCTATATACGAAATGGCACGATAGGGGCACTTTAAATGGATCTGCCATTTGCTGTTACGATCCTAAGAGCTAAGACACGTAAACTAAACTAAGGCAAACCATGAATGTGACAGATATTATACAATTCTAACTACATCTTTAATGGTCTAAGGAAGTATAAAAACACTTGCTTACCGGACTCTTTCTCTGTGTGAGGAAACAAACGCAAGAAAAGAGGAAATCATCTCAGTATTTTAATGTGAATATTACTATGGGACATCAACACTGTAAAGCATAACTGCGAGACTAACCAGAGGAGAAGGAGAGATCGCCAGCGTCCCCACTGAGGCCTTCAGCTCATCCATAGCAGACACAGTGCTGTTTCCACTGTTTGATGTCAACGGCTTGATTTTGATCTTGAATTTCTTCCCATGCTCCTCCTCTCCCTCTGACTCACTGGAGGAGAATAACATCTTGACTTTTGGAGCTGGTGAGACTTGTTAAAGAAATTCGTTTCACAAGGAGGAGTACATGGCTAAATACTACACAAAAGGCCTTGAAATGACTCGTCCCATCGCCATAGTTTTTAGTCTTTTTTAACAAATGAAATGTCAGAAAAGATAAGAAACAGTGCAGAGCAATATGCAAGCATAGACTGGATATCTCCCCCTTGTTCTCCAGGTTTAACGCTGTAACCCTCATCATCCACATCCGGAGAGTTCTGTTACAGAACAGACAAACACATGGGGCATTACATTCACAGGAACTGTAAAAACAGTAGGAAAAATGAGCATTCAGAGAGATTTACTTACATATCGATCCCAGTCAATCTCACCGTAGTATCCATTAGGTGCACCATTGGCTTTTTTCTAAGAATGAAACATGTGGGACGAGACATTGTAAGAACAACAACTATGATATATTATTTCACAACAAAGCCTTCACTGACGTGGATTATGCTGTACTCACAGATTTGTCTTTGTCTGGTGATCCACTGAAAGAAATGAAAGAAATTGTTCAGATTTCAGGCATAAGACTGAATGATAAGTATACACAACATACTTGGGGCATAAAGATAATATAATGTGACTATATGACTCCTGACAGAGTTTACTATATGCATTATGAATATACATGCAAAACATGTATATGCATATATACATGCAAAATGAATATACATTTTTGTGCTTATGTCAAGCTTGAAAATATGCTGTTGTGTAGAAACACTCGTGGTCCAAATAAGCCGCAAAATGGACCAGACTTTATATTAACAGTCAAAGACTGGCTCTTCTACTACTGCACATTTGACAAAATTACTCTAAGCCAATTCTTAGCAATGCATAATCATTATAGCAAGCACAATTCACTCAAATCACAATAAACTAGGTTGTGCCAAGGCACCCATTTCTACACATGCACCAGTGAGCAAATCAGAAAATCCTTTAGAGATCTGTGTAGAGCTGATGTCCATGGTCACATCACAGACTGTTCTTACTCACGTGGAGTCACTGTCCTTTTCTTTCTTCCGTATCCCGAAGGCCTTTCGGGTACGCTTTTTCAGTCCTGTTAAAAGTCATGGTTGTCATCAGGAACAAAATAATACACAGTTCCTCTATAGTGCAACATATATATTCAGAGTTCTGGCATGAAACTCTAGATGGCGCAGTCCGATAGGTCTAACTCAATCTGACCTAATGACATCATCATCACATGGCACAGCTGATTGGTTCTCTCCTGTATCGGTAGCCAATGAGCTCGCTGCTCAATATTCAAATATATGATTAGTGCTTGCAGTAGCAGTTGCAGCTTGCTTCAGAAACCCTCCACCTTCCCCAGCTCCACCTGTATAGATCTGCTACGAGGTGATTCATGTACACTATATGGGGGTTATTTCATGTATGTTATATTTGCAGCAGCAATATTTCTTACATGCTCACAGCAGCATGTTGTGGATGTATTGGGAGTAGCAAGTCTCGGTACTTACTCTGCCGCAGCAGCAGCAGAGTAGCAGATCCAAGACCAAATGCATTAACATTGTCGTGTATATTACCATGCCAGTTTTCATGACAGAAATAAAGGTCGGGACGATTTTATTTATTTTTTTTGAAAGAAGAGCTAACCAAGGCAGTTAAACGGTAATACTGCGAAATATTTTACATTCATTCATTTTTAAAATAACTGTTATAACCAATTATACAAGAATTTGCTAAATGTAGTTGCAAAATGTTTTTAGATAATGTAAATATCACGCTGCTGCCACTGCATGTCATCAACTACCCAAACACAAAGCAATAGGTTAAACAGTAGACAGCAACATTCACTAGCATCTGAAAAAACAAACTTAGAATTCAGTTACCAGGGGAGTGACATTTCCCATAAATATTTCAACATCTGCAACTAAAAAATGCAAAACATTTTTTCCCCAAGACCTCATTCTAAGTGCACTGAATTAAATACAGATTTTTTTTCAAATATATATATATATATGCGCTGTAAGATATACACATTTTTTTTTAAATATATATATATATATATATATATATATATATATATATATATATTTGCATCAAGGCAGCATTACTCTACACTGGGATTCAAAGCACATGTTCAACCTGGATGACCAAATCTGCAATGAGGCCATGCAGTCATTTTAATGATGGAAGGGTGTCAGCAGCAACAAATGTGCAAGATCTAATGCTTATTTTTCTATATTTTCTCTATCTTCTAGTTTACTTTTATGCAGAAACAAGAGCCCCTAAGAACTGGCACCATGGTCGATATTAACAGATAAGGCACAAGAATTTATAGCCTGGAGATCTTGGCATACGGGACCGCTTGAGGGGCTCAGTGCCAGTATAAAAGCCTTTAGTTGTGTGGGTTCACCCATCATGCCTCTAGTCTAAAAGACCTCTAGGGAAAAGCTGACATTTCCTTCTTCGCTTGGTTAAACGTGAAGCAATTAAGTCGAGTTACTACAAAACAAATATGAGGAGATGAAACTGCGTGCAGCTTGCTCACTACCTTAAACAAATGAATCTAAGATGCCACTTAATAAGGACAGTTTTGTAAGATTGGATTCAAGGAATAGTTCACCCACTAACATAATGTCATTACACACCCTTGTGTCATTCAAATCAAAACTATTACTTTTTTCTTCCGTAGAACACAAAAGGAGAAATTTTGAGGAATGTACTGGCTGCTCTTTCTGATTATTGATTGCACTGACAATCAATGTGGATTGGAGCATTCAAGATTCAAAAAAGGACACAAACACATCATAATGGTGGTCCATACTACACTACATTCAAATTCACTACATTCAAAATTTGTGGGCAAACAGGCATTTCTAACCAATATGAACCTGATCACCAGTGAACTCGGTTTTATTTAAACTTGCTTATCTAAAAAAAAAAAAAAACTGATTCAGACTGGTTTTGAGAACAGTACACTAAAAAATGCTGGGTTAAAAATAACCCAGCGCTGGGTTAAAAAGGGACAAACACAGCTATTGGGTTGTTTTGACCCAGCAGTTGGGTTCAAAACAACCCAACCGCTGGTTCAAAACAACCCAACCGCTGGTTCAAAACAACCCAACCTCTGGGTCAATGGGTCAAAACAACCCAATAGCTGGGTTTGTCCCTTTTTAACCCAGCGCTGGGTTATATTTAACCCAGCATTTTTTAGAGTGTATCAACTATTTCATTCAAGATCCTACGTTGGTGTTTAACAAAACCTTAAAACCATAAATAAAATAATTCAAAAGATTCTACTTTTTTTTTTGAAAGAAGTCTCTTTGCTCACCAAGTCTACACTTATTTGAAAACAGTAAAAACAGTAACATTATGAAATATTAAAGTTTAAAAGAACTGATTTAGCTGAATTTTCAGCATTATTACTCCAGTCTTCAGTGTCACAAGATCCTTTAGAAATCATTTCTAATATGCTGATTTGATGCTCAAGAAACATTTATTATTACTATCAATGTTGAAAACAGTTCTATTCTTCAGAATTTCCAACAATTTTCCAGGAAAAAAAATAAAAATAAGAATCACACAGGTTTGGAACTACACGAGGATGAATAGATGATGACAAAATGTACATTTTTGGGTGATCTATTCCTTTAAATTAGAGGAAATAAATCAATGCATGAAGTGACCTGTAAGATCGTGAGGGTGGGACTGTGGACCACAGAGCAAGGCGCACACACATGCACGCATCCCGATGGCATGGCAGATTTATTTTGTGCACGTGTAAATCTAGCCCACAGAAAACCCTAAATTTAAATGTGCCATCATGATGTTTGTGTGTGTCACGGTGCAAACACACATGCCCACTGGTCATACAACGTGAGACACATAATCCTTCACCTCTTTCAAGGAGACAGACACCAAAACAAGCACAGTACAGTACAGCCGGCTAGGGAATATTAGCACGCTAATAAATAATATCAACGGACAAGCGATTAATTTAAGGGCCCAAAGTGGATTTTTTACCTTGCATCATGGTTGCAGCACTTCATTCCTCGGTTTCACGCGAACAAACAAACTGACACGAGATACAGCAGTGATCCGGTAGCCGGTCGTTAAAGGAAAGACTCATACTGTCCAGCCTCTCGGGTTTCCCGGTAACCGGTGGATTAGGCCCCTGGCACCGCCGCATCAGCAGCATCCACACACGCCATCATCACAGAGGGGATGCTGAGGACAGCCGATGAACGGAGAATGTGAGAGAGAGAGAGAGTGTGGGAGGGTCGCGTAATTACGAACCGTACTATGGCGGAGGCTTTACTCATGAATATTAATAAGGTCATGTCGACGTAGGTTGGTAACCTTCCAGGACCGTCCAGTCAGGTAACGAATTCATATTCATGAGCCGATTCACTAGCGTTCTACGCCACTTTGTCAGCAAATCAGGTAGGGCTACGTCACGTTGCGTAATTAATATTCATGACTAAACCACGCCGTAGTAGGGTTCGTACATTCATTCACAAGCGGGATAAGAGGGTGAACGGACTCTGGCCTGATCCTGAGAACGATATTTATATGATGAAGTGCTGGTGGACCAAATCTGAGGCCACTCGTGAAAATAGTAAAGTTGAGCATTTTCCTCAATTTTATTTTCTAATTATATTTTCAATATAACAGTTTGGATACATGGATATTATTTCTTCATTCACCTTATACTGTGAAAAAATACTGTAGGCTACTTTGATGTCATAATCTTTGAAATGTTTTGCTGAAAATGTACTCGCCTTTAGGCCATCCAAGATGTAGATGAGTTTGTTTCTTCATTGGAACAGATTTGGAGAAATTTAGCATTATGTCCAAGCGGCAACCTTCTGGTCTCTCTGGTGAAGCCAACACGGAAGTGACTAAAACTGCAATTCATCGACTGGCCGCTAGAGGCTGGCTCCAAAAGGGAGTCAATCCCATAGACTCCTCATGTTAAAATGCCCAAATTTACAGCAGAAAAAAATGTTTACAGCCTAGTTCAAACAATTATTTTGGTCTATATAGCTAATTTTGCCCTTCATGACAACTGTGGGGGGGGGATTTTTTTATAACTCATCCGTTTAAATTATATTAAGCCTTACAGTTCTGCATAATTAAGGGCGTGGCCACTTGAGTGGCAGGTGGATTGCCGCTGCTGTCACTGGCGTCAAACTAGGTGGGCGTGGCTTCAGCAACCAGCTCCCGCCTCTTTGCCCATTTTCGATTATCCGGGAGTGACGCGCGGCCAAGATGGCGACGGCCGGCTCCGCCCACTTT